AAAAACACTTATACCTTTTTTCACGCTTAACGGAGAATGGCTGTTTTGTGGACGATGAATTTGTAACCATATGTGGTAATACAGCATATGAAATCTACGTCAGAACGAACATATATATGTATGATGTTTTGATCTTATCTCAATTTGCATACTAAAATAATCTCGTATTTACGTCTCACGCAAACTTTTGAATGGTGCATTAATTAGTGATTGATATTCCTTTGTCCAGGCCCAGGGCCTTGGTCTAGATTCCTGAAGCCATGCTATCATTGTTTCAGAACGCCTTTTAAAGGTTTCTAATACTTCGATGTTGTAATTTTTCAAAGGAGCAGGTAGGTTATCGCAAACAATTTCAAACAATTCTAACTTTAATTATGAATATTTTCTGATCATGAACATGAGTGTATCTTTTAGATCCATTCATTATCTTCAAGAAAAGTATAGTATATAGGCTAATGTAACCTACAAAGGTATTGGGTTTTCAATTAACATGTGATAACCATTTCTAATTGATTTTACAATTTCTTTCAAAGGCTTCAATACTTTCAAACCTAAACTGTTATTCTAGGTCAACAAAGTTCAATTTTTAAGTATGGTTTCAAGTGTTTTGTCATACCTTCAGTTGTATTGTTACAGCAAGTTTTGCAGTCAAAATAAAGTCATAATAAAGAGGAGAAATTTGCACTAATTTGAGAGAATAAAGTGTCATCGATTTAATTTTGCTAACACCTCTCGAAATCAGCAAATATTTTGTGGTTTCTGATGGGGAATATTTGTATTGACCAATGGTACCATACCAATTAGGTAGGTGTTGAATGTGGACGATCATCTTGTGATACAAATTTCCAGTCAATCCCTCTCATAGACATCTACCATGTAAATAATTAGATGTGTCATTCCTTAATAAAATAAATATATTTGTTTGTCTATTTGCAAGTTTGATGATTTGTGAATCTACACGCTTATTATCACCTTAGTATTTACCTATTTGATGAGCGTTTTCCTGATTACCTGATGTTGATAATAGTCATAAGTGATCATAAAGATACAACATAAAAATTGTCAAGTTTATTTTGGGTTATATAGGGTTTTGATAGCCAGATGGAAGGCACAAAAGCTGTTGGGTGTACTTTTCTAATTCTGTCATTCATTTTCACTATTTAAACCTTCATTTTGTTTTGATGCCGGATATGAATTACAAACGATGCAACTGTTAAACATAATGATAATTTAGTTAATCAGACCTAAGTGATTTTGAAGGGGCAATGGACCAATCAACATACTTTTTCAAAAATGTTGACCTAATTTTAACCAAAAATGCAGCCTTTTATTATATTGTTGAATGCATGATTAGAATGTGCTTTGAGACATGTTTGATTTCCTAAAAGGAAAAGTTGAATGCTCCAGGGACTTTACAGATATTGAATTTGGATGACCAAAATGAACTGAAACCAATGGATATCATGAGATTTTTCAATGGAGAAATAACATGGGGAACACTTATCTTAAAGCAATTAAGTTTTTCTTTCAAGAAATATTTGATACATCAAAATAAAGAATAGTAATGCATTAAACATTGTAAAAAATTATCGCATTTTTGGTGAAAATGGGGTTAACATCTTTGAAAAAGTGTGTTGGTGGGTTGATTGCTAGTTAAATATCTTCGAGTTTGTTTGACTTCATTATTATTGTATATACTTTTCTTTGAGATAATGAATTGATCTAAAAGATAAACTTGTCTTCATTGTCAGAAAATAGTCATAATCCAAGATGTAACCTTCCAAAAGTATTTGCGATAATCTACGTGCTCCTTTGGCTCTACATGTATAAGTTGTGCTGTTGTTATCCATTGACATGGTTTTGAATTGAGTCCAACTTATACGGAGGTTAAGATGAATATCAAATACGTCACATTTAGTGAACTGTATCGGTCCGTATTAGGATATAAATGTCATGATCAAAAACATGTTGGCTTGAAACCAGAACCAATTATAGCCCAGCTAAATAATACGTCATTGATAAACAAATTCTATCTCAGTTTTAAACCTACTATTACTATATATCAAAATAAAAAAACGTCTAAAATACTTTCAAACCTGTTCTCTTCACTGAAACGTTAGAAAAAACATTTATTTTTAAATTACTTCTTCATTATTCATTGTTTTGAGTCCTTTGCTAGACATCGCTCCATAGTGTAGTGGTTATCACGTTCGCTTAACACGCGAAAGGTCCCGGGATCGAGCCCCGGTGGAGCTATTTTGCACATTAATGGTTTTCCACAAGGCTTCTTTATTTTGGAAAACGTAGGGAATTTTATAATTCAAGATGAGAATATTCATGAATTGATAATGATCTGCACTGGAACTTCATGTGAATATTTGTCTGCAATCACTGCGTCTTAGTATTGGACCAGAACTGGCTCAAAACAAAATTCCTACAAAATATTTATTGATTTAGCCATTGCCTGAGATGTTTTATTTTGACCAAGAAGAAGCAGGTTTTTTTTAATCATTTTATTTAGCCTAGGGTTTACAGTTTACACTATTATATCCCCTAGGGGTCTACATATACAATTTTGAGATGTCATGCAATAGGTTAGATAGTTTTATATGGTTATAAAAATCTCTGAGTGTCTCTGATGAATGTCTGGACATGATCGAATAGAGTGCAGTTGTCAATGAATGAAGAATCTTTGTTTCCATGAATTATATGATTGAGAAGATTATGTCTATTGGTTACGGCTATGTTCCCTAATTCCCTGAAAAGAGTTGTTCTTTGGGCAACATAGAGGGGACAGTCAAGAAAATAATGAAGTGGTGTCTCTTGTGCGAAACCACAAGAACAATGTTTGAAGTCTATGAGGTTGTAAGAGAAACGTTGATGGTTTAAAGCACTGAGACCCATTCGGATTCTCCCATGATTAATTGCAGATTTGCTGGCTTTTAATGAGTAAAGTTTATTTTTGCTTTTGCAAATAGAATGTTTAAGTTTATATTTGAATAGAGGGAGATAACCAATGTTCCTAAAATGTTGTTCAAGGTTGTTCCATATTCTAATGGCATTTGGAAGAAACGACTTGTAATTAATGTTAAGTCTACAGAAGGGTATATTGAAAGAATTTTGGTTTTGACGTACAAAAAAAAATTACGAAATTATTGATATTTCTAAATCTAAAATGTCATGATCCGGGGTCTTCAAAACTACACCATCCTAACCCATGCCTAAGGTTGCCAAACTTTTCGAGAGAAGTGGAACTTTACTGTAACATTTTTTAACAAAATAGGGCTCTACTAGTGTTCACCATAACAAAGGACGATTCTCGGTTTGGAGAACAGCCTCCTGGGCTAAAATTTTTTTCATGAAAAATATAGAAATATTACCCAAATTAAACTATGAATATTCAAAAGAGGACAATTAAATCTACAAGATGTAAAAATAAAAAATTGGTCTGAAGCAGGGATAATGCTCAAATAGACCGATTCAATAAAATACAAGTCTCGATTTGGGGAAAGAAGTTCATCAGTGTACTGCGCTAATATTTTTTTTGCGAAAAATCTAGAAATATTACTCAAATTAAATTATGACTATTCAAAAGAAGACATTCAAATCTATATTATGGCAAAAATCAAATTTGTCAAAAGCAGGGATAATGCTCATTTAGATTGATGAAATTCGTTCTCCAAACCGAGAATCGTCCTTTGAACTTATTCATTGATCATATGAAGTTTTCAAATTTCATAGTTAATTAATGTTTAAGTTCATTGGTGTGATATTTTAGTTTTTATACAAAATAATATTTTGGGGAAATCATGACCGGGGGTTCGTCCGAACCCACAAAACCCCCGGCTATGCATATGCTGTTTTGATCTTATCTAAATTTACATGCTGGTATAACCTCGGATTTATATAATTAATCGTATTAGGTCAGTGAATTAGTTTTCGCAAGATTTTTTATGATAATTCTCGAACGTCTCTAAAAAACCAATGGAACTAAGAGAATTGCGCAAGTTTTTACATCGTAGTTTGAGAAAGGAATACAGTTGCATGTCTTTTTTGGTACATTTGTTTGATTCATATATCTGTAAATGAAGTGACTTGAATGTTGTATATCTTCTACTAAACACTAATTTAGATATATCAAATTATCAGCGTTTCTATGGTAACTAGGTTGACCTCAATCTACATTTGCATGAAAGTCCCCTAGGGGACAAGATGATGGCGAACCAAGTCATTAGAAATACTAGAAGCAAGTCAGTAGCTATTCCTACATATTATTTGGACTGTTACAGCGTTTGAAAATATATAAACTGTCCCTTCAGAGATTTTTTTCAAAATTTTGCAAATAGGTATGTTGATTTAGCGACTTAAAAACTAACAGAGATTGTGGGAGAAATTTGCATCATTTCACTGGCGTTAAACGTTACTTGGGCATGCCAATCCGTAACGTACACGTATATCTATGGAGGTTTGCTGAATTTTATTTATTTAAATAATCTTTAATTTGATATATTTCCCAGCACGAATGATGTGAGTGGGCTTTTATTGGTGGAAATTGGTAGGACACGTTTATTAACAAAGATTTGTTAAAAGAATTCAGACAATTTATCAACTCATTTTACATCTAGGGAACAAAAGCATCATGATTTCGTAGCACCAACCTCACAGCAGACCATAACGCTTTTGTTATTAGAAATAAAACAATTTGACAAATCGACGAAAATCTTTTGACAAACCCTTCTAATACAGTATTTCTAATATTATATTTTACCAATCTTCTATATGAAAAAAGCACACTAACACCATTTGTGGTTGAAAAATATATCAAACAAATGATCTAAAAATTTTACCAAATTACCATAGATATATTATATATGCATCTTGATCTTATCGTTACGGAGCAGTATGTCGAAGTTACGTTTAACGCCACATTTAACGTGCATTTGCGAATAGATCACTAAAAAAGGTAATGCAATATTTTATTTTGCGAGTTGATACATAAACTCCAGTAAAAACTTCATAAATTTTTTTGTCATTAGCTCTTTAATTCAGCACTCTATTCCAATAGGTTATCCTTGATGTACTTCAAAAAATACACAACTGATAACAGTGGCGGATCCGGCATGGGCCCCGCCAATGTAGGGCCTCAGAAATGGACCTTTTTGGGCATAAGTTAGTCTTCTCAAAGAATGGACCTTAACTTTTCAAAATTTTTGGTTTTAGGGCCCTAAATTTTTTTAGAATTTTTTCCAGACTCAAAAGTTGCGCCCCTACTGTTAATTTCTGGATCTGTCACTGTGATAAGGTCGTCAGTATATAGTTTAATCTAGTCTTAGCTCCGGTCAGACGAATCACCCAGTGACCGTGGAATAATGTTTATTTCACCCTCTTCCGTCCTATCTAGGAATCTCAGTTGTATTGGTTTTTCGGGTGACAGAACGATAGCCATTTTATCATCGATTGGGATATCAGTAAAAGGCTTTATTCGGAATCTTTGCAGAACCTAAATCAAACAAAACAGTGTAGCTGTATTTAGGGGGAACTATTAAATGCACTGTTCAAGTATAGAAGTGCGATGAGAACTAAAAACATTACATAACAACGGGAAACGACGAAACGGATACAAACGCAATTTTTGCTTCAGATATCAAAGCCCATTTCAAAGTAAGATCCAATTCTCAAAAAAAGAAACATATGCCTTTGTTTACTTGTTTTCCTATCCACAAAATGAATCTGACGACTTATGACTCAGAACGGGAAAATATGATAATTTAAGAACAATTTCCAAAAAACACCTTACCCTTGTTATAATGAGGTACATCTCGAGTTCAGCTACTCGCCGTCCTATATTAAAACAAATCAATTGTCTTCTTGAAAAACATTTTCGATGGTTTATTACCACTTTCTGCACCTTTCAGTTACTTCTATCGTTTGAGATGTCTCAATATTTATTTTAGATTTTATAAAAAAGACTATATGCAAACATTAGCACAAGTTTTCGAAAAATAATTTGTCTCGTATTCTCTTTCTATTACTGCCATATATGTCCTGTGTTTGCGTAACATGTGATACATGGTACATGTTAGTTGTACACCTACCTACACACATGCGCACTCCATACCCAAACGGAATTGAAGCAAATGGGCTATATGGAGCTTTGTTACTGCCAGCTCGCAACCAACGCTCGGGTTTGAACTCCAATGCATCCCCAAAGATAGCCTCGTTACGCCCCATAGAATACAAGCAAACATTGACAAGTTTCTACAAAAGAAAAGCGAGGAATATGCAAATATTTCTTATACTCCTAATTATCATCTAGGGTAAAATATTATCGATATTGCTTTATATTATTGTTATGATATTGGAGGGTATATTAGACTTACTCCTTTTGGTATATTGTAGCCTCTAATTGTGATGTCGTCCGGGGTAAATCTACTAACCAATGCAGCCACAGGATACAACCTACATATATGGAATCATACGTTTCAACAAGGTACATCTACCAATGGGTGATACGGAGTGATAATTGATAACAAAAGAACTGAGTTCTGAAGACAATTTGGGGAAGAAAGCTCTACGTTCAGAATTTAATAAAAACTTCCAAAAATGCTTGTTTTTAAAGATACACCTTTAACAACATAAAAGTCAAATTAAAAATGATAAATTAAATGCGAACAAAAAATGAGGAAAAAACAAACGAACGATTTAACAAAAACACACCTCAATGTCTCTTTCACTACAGCTCTCATATACGGAATATGTTGCATGTAATTAGAGACGTCATTGCCAGGGTTCAAATTTTTCACTTCTCTGTAAAGTTTCTCCTGGACATGAGGGTTTCGAGCCAACATGTACAAAATCCATTGAGCACTAGTTGAAGTCTAAAAGAATTTTGTGATGAATGAGTTTTTAATTGGATTTTTCTAATAATTTATCGTAATGAGTAATTCTTCCCATTGCATGTATCTAATAAACCACAAGGCAAATATCCAAAACCCCGTTTAACCTTTGATTCAGTATATACGGGTGCCTGCAAATATCGTATCATACAGTTAGCAAACATGCCTTAGTTGCATCCGTTCACCAAATTGAAAGTGATCCGGATTTACAAGAAAGGTATGTCCAGTCCCCATTCCATATACGGTACTTACTGTGTCTACTGCGCCGCCCATTAGGTCAACCATTGAGCCAATAAGCCCGGCTTCATCTAAGTTTCCCTTTTGTAATATATCAGCAAGGAGGCCCTCGTGTTTCTTGCCATCTTTGCTATGTTGCTGAACTTCATCTATCTTCTCCTTGATGAACTTTGTAGCTAGAAAAGTACTAATAATTAGATGAATAAATACAATTATTAAAAAGAAAATTTTGTCACCATATGGAGAATTAAATGTGGTATACCCTAACCAACAACAAAGACTCAACAAAGACAGTACTAATCAATACAGATTTAGTGTTTTATGACTCTGAAGAACTGCGGTTCAGGAGTTTGATGGAATATTTTCCGTTTTTTCTAAAGGTCTCAGAACTCGATCTAACTATTCATTTAGACGGCTTCGCATTAATGGGTCAGGATTAATCATCCAAAACGTTTTTACCCCATCGTCTTGTCGATGTTGTGGTCTATATGGCTGTTGACGTTTTTGATACTTAGCCTAGCAGATGAGCTCATGATGTCAGCTGCAACTTGTTATCAATTTTACCTTTATTGTTGCAACGAACAGCCTACATACAGTATAACACATGTACAATGGTATCGTTTTCAGAAGTCGTGCAATAACCCCCCCCCCCCCCCCCCCCCCCTTACGTCCATTGTCATATCTGAACTGACAAATGAGATTAACAAAATTTCAGATGACATGGTTGAAATTTAAAGTTGCTGAACTCTCTGGTGATGTATCAACGCTAAAATCAGAAATTAGAAAAGTATTTGTTTAGAATGAAGTCAACGTGATGGATCAACCGACATCCGTGGAGAGTAAACTAAATATGATAACTGGTAGGTAAAAATGCTAACAAAATATATTATGCTCATGTTTTCTTATGGGCGGTTTCTTAAGTTGTATCAATCATCGACAAGGTCAATAACACGCGCGCAACTGACAACAAATTTTAGCTCTATGCTTAGTTGCTTAAACTATCTTTTTTTGAATTGACAATGAAACGCAATCTAAATGTTAAATGTATATTTTCTCTCATTGTATTTACAGCAAACATACTTGATGAAGACTGTCATCTGGCCAGAAATTGAACAAGCAAAATAACTACACAGCTTCTGGAAAACCTGTGATAGCGAACTGTGGGAATGGTTGCTTATTGCACACCGATTCAAAGGCGTAGAGATCTTTCATAATCGAACATGAGATGTCTACAAAAATGGTTTTTCGTCACCAAAAGGTGTATACTTCATTGGATTTAAGCCTAGTCTAACTTTTCTCAAGCCAGGAGACTACAAAGTACGATTTGAACTTGGTGGATGGGACAATGAACAAGAAATTGCGGAGTATGCTGTCTTCAGAATAGGTAAAGAGGGAAGTGAATATACTGTCGCGTTCCAGACTTTTGCCTATAGTCTGAGTAATTTTCTACCTTATTCTTCTTCGTGGGCCCAGTCCTGGTTTGGTGGACTGGATGAAACGACAGTCACAAATGGCTTCAAATTTAATACATATATTTTAACACACACTATTTATACAAGAAAATAACACACTTTAATGTTCATAGACTAAAATGTCACTTTGATCTCTCTTTATAAGCTTGTTAGTGGCCGTTACTGCTTCCTATGACTCTTAAGGTCTTTTCTCGGCTCCTCTGCCTCTTAACTCAGGTACTATGGCTCTTTAGCTCCTTGGTCGACTCTTCTGGCTCGTCTGCTCTTTGTTTGGCTCTTCTGGCTCTTTAACCTGGCTCAGATTCTATGGCTCTTTGCTTGGCTCCTGTGGCTCTTTAGACTGGCTTAGCTCATTCGGCTCTTTGCTCAGCTTCTCTGCCTCTTAGCTCAGCTAGTATGGATCCTATGGCTCTATAGCTCTTTGCTTGACTCTTCTGGCTCTTTAGCCTGGCTTAGCTCCTTTGGCTCTTTGCTCGGCTCTTTAAGGCTCATATGGCGTAGCTTCTCTGGCTCTTGAACTTGGCTCCTCTGGCTCTGCGTTCAGCTCTTTGGCTCTTTAGCCTGGCTCCTCTGGCTCTTGAGCTTGGCTCCTTTGGCACCTGAACGTGGCTCCTCTGGCTCCTGAACTTGGCTCTTCTGACTCTTCGTTCAGCTCTTTGGCTCTTTAGCCTGGCTCCTCTTGAGCTTGGCTCTTCTGCTTCTGAACTTGGCTCCTCTGGCTCTTCGTTCAGCTCTTTGGCTCTTTAGCCTGGCTCCTCTTGAGCTTGGCTCTTCTGCTTCTGAACTTGGCTCCTCTGGCTCTTCGTTCAGCTCTTTGGCTTTTTAGCCTGGCTCCTCTTGAGCTTGGCTCTTCTGCTTCTGAACTTGGCTCTTCTGGCATTCGTTCAGCTCTTTGGCTCTTTAGCCTGGCTCCTCTTGAGCTTGGCTCTTCTGCTTCTGAACTTGGCTCCTCTGGCTCTTCGTTCAGCTCTTTGGCTCTTTAGCCTGGCTCCTCTTGAGCTTGGCTCTTCTGCTTCTGAACTTGGCTCCTCTGGCTCTTCGTTCAGCTCTTTGGCTCTTTAGCCTGGCTCCTCTTGAGCTTGGCTCTTCTGGCTCCTGAACTTGGCTCCTCTTGCTCCTCGTTCAGCTCTTTGGCTCTTTAGCCTGGCTCCTCTGGTTCTTGAGCGTGGCTCCTCTGGCTCGTAAGCTTACTGGGAAGGCTCCTAGCTGCTCGTTGCTCTAGAAGTCCTCCTGGAACTATCTATCGTCAGTGGTGAAACCGAACTGACAAAATAGCTCACACTGTCTCTTTGCTCAGCCCTTGTTCTTACTGGGAAGACTCCTAGCTGCTCGTTGCTATAGACGTCTTCCTGGAACTATCTATCGCCAGTGGTGAAACCGAACTGACAAAATAGTTCGCTGTGTTGGGAAGTTTCTCAATTGCACCTTACAGCTAGTGGTGGAACCGAACTAACTGTAATGCAAGGTTGCTTCAAGAATGTTCCTATCTGCTTCCTCAAGGACAACACTGAGCACTGAAAAACTCTTTACAGCACTCTTAAGAATGGAAGTATGAAGCTATTCTTGCTTTCAATTAAATCTGACAAATATCTCACTAACTTTAGAAAGCCTGGGACATAAAATGCAGACACACAGTAGATCTTGATACCCAATGAACTAGAAATTACGATCAGTCAGAGGCATCTCAGTAGCATGCTGATCATAAAGTCACAAATTCTGGTACACTTGAAATTAAAAGTTATAGTCAGTCAGAGGCATCTAGTAGCATGCTGGCCATAAAATCACATAAACAAAAAGGAAAAATCTCACCCGAATCAGTGCTGCTTTCTCTTAGGCCCAAAAATTCGAGTTTCCTCTCCTGTTTCTCCTTCTAAAACTTCCTGGTGTGTCTTCCCGCTTTATCCTTCCTAATTAATCCCAAATCACTGGCTGATGGCTACTCCAAAGTGTGATAATTGTAGATTTCTTCCAACCTTTAATTCATGCTGCTTCATTCAAGATGGCGACCTTCCTTCCCTTCACGTAAGAGGGGGAGAAACCCCAGGGTTCAAAGATGACATACGCTTATAATTTAAATCTGTATTGAGATGACATCGTCGCTGATTGGTTTAGCGAGTCGATCGTTGATTGGTTTAAAACTAGGTCAATTTGAAAACCAATATGGAGGGCACGTTTTCGACAAAAGGAGGTGCGCGAAGGAGGAAATCGTATGTCATCAATTGAATCATGGGGTTTTCCCTCCTCTTCCTTCACGTGATGGCATGAGTCATACAGGCACAGGTTATCACTATTTAAAATCAGGGGCACTGCATTGCAGCAATTGAGGGGAATCCACTTCCTGTCTTGGAATACCCACTTGTGGCCAGGGGTTTCCCCATCCCTTGCATAAATGGACTAATAAACAAAACTGCACCAGTGGGAAAATTAGAAAGGATAAACACAAAAAATGAAATTTTCCCACAATACATTAGCTCTTAGTGGTTATAATTCTACAGGGACTAGTACTGCCAAAGATGGAACGGTTTCTGGCAACGATAACCAACCTTTTCGCACAAATTGGATGCCAGGTGAGGGAAAGAGGAGAGAGGTTTTCAGTTTATCCGGACAGTCCAACGTGTGATATAAATCGTGGATGTATGTATTTGAATGGGTTTCCCGGATCTATGTATCTTATAATGAAATGAAAATGAAAATAAAACCATCAACATAGAGCATACAGAGACAATACTTGTATGTTCCTATGTTAAGAAATGTGGGTGAGATAAAATAAATCAATGATACATCATATTATCATGGTTTTTGTCTGTTTTATACCAGCATTCGTGGCAGACCATTTGATCAGAAAAGAAATGGGTGTACTGTGCTACTTGTCAACGATGTTTTGGAGTTCTAAGGTCAACTTACAAATACGGAACATGGTGTCCAAGGTTTGCTCCAATTGTTTCCACGCAGGTAGTCTCAGAGTTTTCGCAAGTTGAGGAGAAAGGAAGAAAAACACGTCGCTACCCGTTAAGATATTACGAATACTTTTGATAAATTCTGTTATTTCTGGGTTTCTGTTGTCGTTTAAACATCCGAGTCGTCGTTCAAAGAACATCGTGCCTCCAGCTGAAATTGAGATGTTGACAAATTATAAGCTCGATGGAAAAACGCTTTGCAGAGTAATTCATAGAAAATATCCAAAATTGGCTTTGAAAGAAGCTTTGTTTCCATTCATTTAGATAGAATACTTGCCAATGACTTAAATCATACACTTCCTTCATTCATTCAACAAAAGGAAGACACCATCGAGGCCTGATTATGTTACCATTTAATTTTGATCCTAAAGTAATTACTACAATTACAATATAAGAATTGATGTTAAAATCGCCAAACATTACATTTTATGACCATCCAGAAGGGTATTTCTGTGACGGGTCATAAGAGCAAAACTAAGATTTAACTTGATGTTACTCATTTGAACTTTTCTAAAACGAATTAGAACTTATATATTCCACTGGGAAGATCAACATGTGACATGGGGAAATCTAAAACCTCGTCGAAATAAAAGCTCGCAGTAGTTACTGGTTGTTAATTTATCGCAGTGACTATCTTGTGTTCATACATACATTCGATGGACCAGTTATATAGCTCCTCATAAAGTTCCTCCACTAGACCATTGTGCTTACGTATCCTATCAAGTCTTTCTACCATATCCGTAGCCACCTCATCCATCACCTCAGTGTAGCCAGCGACAGGCTTTGGGCGCATTAGGAATCTGTTGAATGGTATACGGTTCTTATGCCACTCTTCTGCATGACTGAAAGGACAAGAACACACTTCTGAAATATGTAGTATAATTTATCTTATAATGACAAGTCATGCCATTGCATACTTGCTTTTAAAGCATCAAGAGTTGCGTAGTTAGCAAACATGAAACAAAGGTGAATCAAAATGTATTCATTTAAACGATAGAGTAATATAAGTATAGGGTGTCCATTTTGTAATTTTTTCCTTAGCATAATTATAAGCTGTTTGGATAGACAGATACTTTCCCCATCACTTCATTTCCATGTTTTCCAAAGTATGTGTAAAGTGGACACCCTATATATTAAAAGTGATTGCGCATATTGTAATATATAATATATTGTACAACCTCATTAGTAATCCCATTGACAGGTTACGATCTCTACGATATAAATCCCAAGCAGGAAACTGCACCCGCTGTGGATACTGTCCATCTCGCCTCAACAAGTACTCTGCATCATCAGGGTCGAATATATTCACATGTTCATAAGAGCCCAGTTTTTCTTTATATATAGGCCCGTAAATCTCAGCTTGCCTCTGGAAGTATTTATGAAGCTGTTGCTGTTGAAGTAGACCCGTACGGAGTGCGCTTATCAAAGATCCTAATATGGGCATACCTCGCGGGCCTGGAATCTCCTTATATGGTTTTACCCCATTGGTAAGCATTGTTATTGTCCTTTCCTGCAACATTGATCTGTGGAACGATCTCAGTGTGTTCAAGCTATACATTGTAATTTTGTGAAAGGTCTTAACTATATAAAAGTGCTTCTTTATGTCTTCTATACTATCCGTACATCAGAAATATGAATCTTGAATATTCATCTTGATATGATACTATAGTAACCTGCAGTATTACAGTGTATAAAGTCCCTCTGAAATTGTAATAAGTGTCAATAAACTTAGTGATCCTTGCTTTCACTTGCTCATAATTATGTTTTCACATGTTTATAGTATGAGGTGTTGTCCATTCCGGAATTAAAATTCTGCCTGTTTGCACCATTACATAAGTGTGGACCAATACCATACTTTCAATTGTTCCAGGTCTCAACAAGATATCATATTTTTGAACGCCCTGCTTGTTGCATTGATCAATATTGCGTGCTTTTAATAAAACTGTAACTATACGGCAACTGATGCTGATGCCAAATGTCTTAGAGCTTAATGCAATATGGTCCCCGCTGTTGGAAATAATACTAGGCTACATTTGCGCATGCTCACATGCTGGTTTTCGAATTATGAACAACTTACGGATTTCAGTCAGTCATGGAGATATTAATTATCATCTCAGTTTGTGTCTTCAGAATAGATTCAAGATTCAAGATTTTATTGTGTTTCAAACCAAACACTTGGTTTCCTCACAAAATCAATTACAAGACATTTACATATAATTATACAGTTAAAAAACAACATGCATTGTTTCACAAATACTATCATACAATCTAATTTTTTCCTTTTTCAAATAGCTCCCGACGCTGATAAAAAGTTTATTTATAAAATGTATCAATTCGTTAACAATTTCAAAATCATCAGAAGTCATTAAAAAGTTATATTCTTCTTCATCCGACATATTATCAAATGTGTCAATAAAACTTAGTTTATTAAAAAATTCAAATCTACATTTTTTATAGCCATCACACACAAGAAGAAAATGCTTTTCATCTTCTACTTCCCCCTTATTGCAAATCTGACAAATTCTTTCATTTATTTCAAGTCGATGCTGTTAAATATCAAGTGTTTAATTGCAAAGTAGAGCTAAAGATCTTGGGCTGTATCATGCATGGGTCTACGGCAGGGGTAAATGGTCACAGACCTTGTGTAAAGAGTGTTTTTTTTCTTTCTTACACGCCGCGTTGAGGTTCAAATAGCTCTTTGCCTAATGCAAGCTCAACTGATTTATGAACGTGTAGTATTATTGGCCTATATACACGAACAATTTGGATGACCCATACATTATGAACAATTAACAAGGTGTCAAAAACAGCTGAACTGTTTCGGCTCATCTCAAAACATAAAATGTTAACATGACCACAACATCAAAATGTTTAATTTATTTACATATACCGAAGTCTTGAATCGGTGCCTTTTTGAAAGCAGGGGAATAGTAGTATTGACAGTCACTGGTGGGAAACTAATGAATTTAAACATTAAATGCGGAATGTTAAAATATATCGTGCTATGTTTAAGGATTTAAGCCCTGTTGGACTTAGTACAATGTAGAATGACCATTCCTTGAAGGGTTTCTTTTCCAAAATTTGCAAGAGATACGCAGCATCATAGTCATTCAACAATGCATTGAGTCTTGGGCTTTCAGATTCTTTTCACACATTGCAAAATATTTTTTACCATGTAACTTAAAAGATACGACATCACTAAAAGAATATATTGTCAATAAAACCTTTCGCAAGGCACAATTGGGCAAAGCTTCAATTTCAATTTTTAGAGTCAAGCTGTCACCTTGACAACCACATAAAGAATGACCTTGGATGCTGCGATTGGTTATTTCATTCACTGGAGCTATGTGGAATACTATGTTCGGATTGGCTAGAACCGGACACACCATGTCGATATATGTCACTGGTCAGTATTAAGCGAAGGTAACGGCCATAACCTTCGCATCAAAGATGGCGGATGGTAAGTGTCGATTTCAAATTAAACGTTATAAATGAGTAATGCTTAGATATTTGAACTATATCAGGTATACAGGGCGTATAAAAAAACGCAACAAGCAGTTATCTCGTAAAATCACAAAACTAGTGATGACTACATCAAGTTCATTCAATGTACCATAAAGGCACGTCCCTCCTCTTTGCAATGATATGTCATTCATTCACATGTGGTCACGGTTGGGTGAGAAATCCTTCTATTTGCACAGTGGGTCAAAATCGGCTCTTGACCAAGTTTCAGATATTGCAAAAATCAGTGCAAGGGCTAAGTGCCAATGGAAGTTCTCCTGACTTGATTTGTTGTGACGTTTTCTATTGGAGCTATCCCAGGAGCATCCGTGCTCACCATTTCTCTACCAAATATTGCAAAACTTCGAGAAAGAAATGCCAATGATCTGCTTTTCTCTGCCTTAACCCACAGATGATTCAGAGGTGAGCCATGCAAGGCATGGAGAGATGAAGGCATCTTTGTGTGCTGAGAAGTGGTGGCAATTTGGAGGAGTGTTGGATGTTTTCTTGCAGGAATATGAGTATGAACACTTTACAGTCTATGTCACACCTGCCACACCTTCTTCCAATATCCCCATGCCCCATGCACTGACTTTTGCAATGTTTAAAATCGTGCGTCCGAGCTGAATTTTGCTCCACTTTGCGAAATGATGATTATTCAGCCAGCCAGGACTCCCTGTGAATGGATGACATTGCATTGCAAAGAGGAGTAATTTGGCTTTTTGGTACATTGAATGAAAAGGATGCAGTCATCGTTGGTTTTATGTTTTTACCAATATTGCATTGCACACTGACTTTTGCGATGTTTATGAATTGGTCCCAAGCTAATTTTGGCCCACTTTGCAAAATGATTGATTACTCGCCCAATCATGACCCAATATCAACAAATGATATACCATTGGAAAGAGGAAACATATGGCTTTATGGTACATTGAATGAAATCAATGCTGTTACACTGTTTTTGTGCCTTTGCGAGATAATAATCTGTTGCGTTTTTTTGATACGCACTGTATATGATATGGAAATTCTGGAGTATGATCATATTTTCATATACTAGCGTAGACTCAACGGTTCAACGATATCTTCCATCGCTTAGGGAAGGTAACTGGGATTTTGGTTTTACATATGATAACTGATATGCGGTAATGCGCTAACGTTATGCGAGTTTATAACGGAGAGTGAAAGATATTGTTGAACTGTAGCGCCCACGCACAATATATGGACAAATTGTCAAACTCCAGATGAGTTCCCTTGTCATATAAGCCTGATTTGGTTTAAATATCAAAGCAAAACGTCAGTCCGTTAGTGTTAAAATACGTTGCTCGCATTAAGGTTAAGAGATCACAAAAACACCACTATGTTGTCGGAGGGCTTTATTTCATAATTCAATTAAAAGTCAATTTTACAATTGTACTTGTATTTTATTTTGTTCTACCTCAAATCCACATGGTGTTCTTTTATTTGGTTCAAAAACGGCGACTTCACAGAGGGTCAAATAAGCATCAACCAAAGTGTGCTGTATCTGGACCTTTACATAGCGACCAGATAAACCATTTGGACATCGGAAAATCTGCCAATTTTTCCCACATGAATTCAAAGAACTAGTGTGATGGGCACAAAGTTCCCACTTGACATTGTCTTTGCTCACTTCAATTTTGAAGTCTTTAAGCTGTGCTACAAAATAAACATTTCATGTCAAAATATAATGACATTGTTCGTTAGGCATGGCTCTGGGTTAGTTTGTTGATAAATAAGTGGGTGCAACTAGTTCAGCAAGTGCATTGCATGTAACAGGCATTATTTTGTGTAAACTATTAAACTATTGAGTGAGTGAATAGGTTGTGATTAGTCTAGCCTCAGTTAACTGCATGTGACTATCCAGGTGTAAACAATCAGCTTAATTCTTTAACAGAAAATAATACACTCTTCTTTGTTACAACTGTATATTCTTTAAATTAAACAGTTCAGTATATTCTATTCTAAGTGTGGTTTAAGCCTTGATAAATCCTTTTTCGATTTTGCTCACTTACTAGTTCTATCGACTAATTGGATTTAATGCGAAAAGAAGTGGCGAACTATTATCGTAAATGTGATCGTTCAACAATATACCTTCTACATCCGCTACATTAATTCCACAATTGTCACTCCCTCGACATTGTCTATTAAACAGAGCTACAGATCCAATATCGTATTGAGAGAGCAAATCAACCTTCCACCATGGTTTGGTATCACCAAAATCACTGCTAATGCAAGAAAAATGTCCTGCATCACCATCTATATTGCCATCCACTGCTGCGGCAGCTGGGGGAAAACCGCCATGAAGTGACGATTGAGTGGCAACTTTACCAAGTGCAAGGTTGTTCAATTCTGAAATACAATTACTTAGTTATTGCAATATTTCATAGTCGTGTAATATTAATTCGTCTGTGTACAAACTATATCTGTATTTCGAAATATGCCATCAATGTATTTTCGTCTTGTGATGATAGGCTTATGATCTTTTTAATTTCATGATCTGAACAATTATGACGTATCATTCGGTTGATCATTAAGATAATAATTACTTGATGGCCTGAACACAGCAACTTCACAGAGAGTGAGCCAATTTGTGTCTTGCAGCCGAACCCTAACGTAACGTCCTTTCATTCCACCTGGGCAGTAAAACATCTGACAACCCTTCTTGCAGGGTTCTAGTGCTGTATTTCTGTAAAAGGTACACAGCTCCCACTTTTTTGCATCTTTGCTTACTTCAATTTTGAAGTTTGAAAGACGATCTAAAAAAAATAGAACGTCATCGTTGCATCATTTTCAAAACATCAAGAAGCAAGTAATTTAAACAATTATGCGTTTAATTAATTTATAAAAACAGCATGTTTATGGAACCAAATATTTAAACTTCTGAATAAATGAATAAATATCATTGAAAATATTAGGGTCGTGCCTTAGATAATCTTTAGAACTAATTGATTTGTTCAAATTATAGAAATTAAAATTCATTCATTTATTCATTCATGGATAGATATCTCAACTCGATCTCATTTTGTCTGTATCGCACTTGTTAGCTTAATTATTACATTGTACCTTCAACTCCACTTGACCAATTACTTTTCCTGTTTATGATTATATACACTATATGCATATTACTTATATCATCCTACTACTACCCAGTGAATAACACCGGGGAATATTTTTGATATTGAAAGAAAATTAGACTGTCCCTCCTAATCCCTCTCACAAAAATGGCATTCACCTCAATGGGAGCGAAAAATTATGAATAGGGACCCCATGTCAATATTGTTTTCAAAATATTGAACCTATTTACTCAAAAGAGGATCTTCTTTTTCTGATTTTTATTGCATGAAAACATTATTCAACAAGGGGTCTAAGACATGTTCAAAAATAGAATGGTATTGAAAGTCTAGTTTTGAAGATATCAATGTTCGATGACCAAAATTGTGCTGAAAACAATGGATAGCACGAGTTTTCTCTATGGGAAAATAACATGGGATATGTGGTTTTTAACTTTAACGCATTTCAATACCCATCCCCTTTTCAGGAATTGTTAATATAGTGTAGAGGAGACTTTCGATATGTTTAAATTGAGAAAAACAAGATCCTCTTTTTAGAAAATAAGCCCAACATTTTTCAAAAAGTGCCAAGGTGGGGCCCTAATCCATAATTTTTCAGAGAGTTGGATTGATATTTTACTATCATTGGGACTTCACTTGAAAGAAAACATGTTTTCATAAAGGCCACTGTATTTATGCCCAGAAAGTACTCATAGTGAAAGATATGACTGTCTAAAATCACTTGCCATGCTGCACATGGACCTTTTTCTCTTGCTCTCCGGGCCATCGGGACATATCATATTGTCTCTCGAAAAAAAATACCAATATCCGATTCCTCCCGGTAAATAATCTTCATATACATATATATGCCCAAATGTGTACCAGGTCACGCGACTATATATTTTACAAATTTTATTTCAACTGCATAAACCATATGATTACCTTCAACAATGTCGGACGGTCCACCTCTGCAATTGCCTTCTCCACACTGTCTGTTTGATAATTTGACGGACCCAATAGGATAAACTTCCCGCAGATCAACCATCCACCATGGTTTGTGCTCATGTTTTGTGGATGCACATGAACCATGATGCCAGTCACCATCTTCAACACCATCAACTGCGAGCCCAGCAGGAACATGTTGTAGTGGATATATTGAAGATTGTGAGGCAGGTTTTCCAAGCGCCAAATTTTCTGTGTCTGTACAAAAGATAAACAACAGGTTAAATTTCTTTGTACTTGTTACATTTCTTGATATCTTTGTTTACTCATTGTAATTATTGTCTATCTTAAGTACGTGTCTAACCTGTCTCCTTCCATACAGAGCCTCCGCATTGTTTTTCAGCCCTGCTCGTGTGAATACACACTAATAAACCTTAAAAAGAATAATTATTATTGATAATGGACGAAATAAATTGATTAATATTATAGATAGATGAGTATACTATACTATACTATACTATACTATACTATACTATGAGTATATGATGAGTAATCACTATTAGTATTATAGTCCATGATACAACCTGCCTTACTTCACAGTTCCCCGATTTGGTCGGCTTTAACAAATGAAAGCAGGAAAACCTTTGAATCTATTCAATATAAGGTTGGACAAGCAGTGTTCCAGCTAAGGGGTAAGCCAGCCAGTTCTGCATTATTAGGTGACCTTGGTTGGCACCCAATTGACTCTCTTGCTGAAAAACGTTCTATAGATTTCTTTAGGTACCTCAAATTTAAAATACCACCATCATCCCTACCACACAAGATTCTAAATGCACCAATGATCCAATTTACTGAAAACAAAGAAGGCCCTCGGAAGTACATCTCAACCATTCGTAAGTTATTAAGTGATAGAGGTCTTGATGATGTCATCTTTAGAAATGATGGTGATTGGTATGCGTCATACCTTAAAATTCGCAAATGTGAAAACGACGTAAAATTCCACTCGGAAGTTTCAAAATATAGTTCACTATCACTTTATTCCAGTTTCAAAAATCATCCATATCTAGAAAATTATCTGAAGAATGACTATGACTTTTACGGGTGCAAACTGAAGTTCATGGCCCGAGCTGATATTTTTGCATTAGAAACCAATTATGAATCATGGCCCATGAGTGATGGATTTTGTTCATTCTGTGAAGCAAAAAAGAAGGACACTGTTCAACACAGAATTTTGGAGTGTACTCATTTTAATGATGAGCGCCAATCTCTTTATTTTAGTATAAGACAGAAATGTAATGAAATTATATTTTCCTATTTTATATCTGCAAGTTCAGAAAAGAAACTTGGTTTTATTTTAGGTGATGATGTATTTTTATTATGGGGGCATGATCAATTCAAAAACGTTGACATGATTGTAAAAACATTTTTAAGTAAAGTATACAAGCCTAGAGATACAAGTGTGACTTAACCCCACACACCTAATGTTCGGTACTTTGTTTTAAATACTGTAACATGTTTTAGACGCACCTATAATAATTTAATTTTAGTGTGCCATCGTTTCAAAGATGTAGTTTCTAAATAAATAATAAATAAATAATAAATTATACAGTGTGTCTCAAAAAATGTTACACTTACAAAAAGTTCAAAATCTTTCATGATTTTGACCTTTATCGTAAAATATACTTAGATACCAAAAGACCAGCATTTCTCGAATAAATTCACACCATCAGATTCAAAATACGTCTATGATTGGCTGCACGGGACAGTTTTTTTTCCTGGATAGAAATACAACATTTCATTGTCAAATGTTCAATTTCGTTACGTATGATGGCAATAGGATGGTGCAAAGGCCTTTGGCAGATCGTTTGGTAGAACTCTTTGGAAATCAGAAAGAAGTATTGAATTACCCAATTGATTGGCCCCCAGGGTCATCCCACTTTACACCCTTGCTTTTTTGAAGGGCTTTACAGCATCACAAACTAACCTAAATGAACTTCTACAAGAATAATTGATGAAATCGGTGTGATATTAAAATGCATGTTCGCATGGGCAAGCGTACCTCAGATCCTCAGATTTGCTTTCACATTCAACATGTTGAGTGGACCACATGTTTATGTTGATAGACCAAATTACCATATGTAAGACAAATAGGAAAATTACAGAATGACTCGCAAAGGTCAAGCTTCTGCTCAGAAGAAAGTTAAATGTTAAAGAAACTGTTCCTCCATATGGTCCATCCAATCACTTAGAAATTGGCGCAAGTCAGATTTTACTGTGGGACACTAAAAGCTGTCCTGTGGAGCCAATCAACGACAGATTTTGAATCTGATGGTGTCAAATTATTCGAGAAAGATTTGTCTGTTGGTATCCAAAGTATATTTTAGGGGAAAAGTCAAATTTATGAAAGATATTGAACTTTTTGTAAGTGTAACATTTTTTGAGACACTCTGTATTAGTAATTATATTGATTTGTTTTTTTGCTGAATAAAAGGATTATGATAAAAACCCAGTCTACAAAGTAAGTACGACACAGCAGGTCATAATCGCAACAAACGATCCCAAAAGCCGCATATGACCTGCTTTGGCATTGTTTCAGTTCAATTTAATTCAATTCAAAATCAAGTTCTATATATATTCTATGTGCTCTTGAATACCAGCCCCTAAAAAAGGTTTGAAACCAAAGCATATTTGCCAGGTATTTTGAATAATTACGTAGATGTGCTTACATATTGCCAAGTGGAATCCTGTGTTAATCATCTGCATGGTAAATTACTCACACTCAACAATGCAACACTGCGCCGTTCTGGAATGTAATCATCATCGGTATTGTCTTCATTTTTGTATTCAATGATGTTGTAATAAAATAATAATCGGCAAAATTTATACTCACTAAATTTCGTATTAGTAATAAATCGCTCTACTTACATATAATTGTGTAAATACGATAAATGAGATTTTGTACAACAGAAAAGCAGCGTTATCAAAAATTGAGACAATGAGCTGTATCAATTCGCTATAAGACAGTTACTTTCAATTACATCTTCAACCATAAAAAAGTAAAGATAATACGTACCAAGTTGCCGGATAAGTTATTCTTCGTGCAGAGTTTGGATTAAATTAAATTTTGAAACACGGAAGGAAACATATTTATAGCTTTTTAAATTAAACAGCCTAATTGTATAAATTGAAATAATCCATTCTAGATTATTTCTAAATTAGGTAGAGGAAATTAAACTGAAATTACTTTAGTTACATAGCCAAAATAAATATAAAAATCTTAAATAGGATGTTTACATTAACTTTGTGAGGGAATTCTGTCTGACTATCAAACCTCCATCATTATTCTATTAAGAACATACTTAATATTAAACCTCATTATAGACTAGCTGTTGAAGCACTTCTATTTTCGTTTTCACATGATATTGAAATATTCTGACAATAAAATTCAAACGGCATAGGGCTCAAATACGTACATTTTTACCTAGTTAAATTTAAAGTTAAACACACAGAAACATATATTCAAACTTGGCACAGTCACGAAGCCATTAATATCCTAAATACCAGCTCCTAAAGAGGGTTTGAAACCAGAGCATATTTGCCAGGTATTCCGGATATTTCATCTGCATACACAATAGTTGATGTTTGATTTCATAAGGTCAGTAATCATAGATATCCTACATATAAGTTTAAGCATAATTCATGTACATTGGATACGAATTGTCAAAGTTATAGCAGTTTTAGTGAAAAGATCTGTGATATACATGTATCGGTCGCTATGGATTCCGACATGAAATTTCATTTTTGACAGAAATATCCATCATTCTGGGTGTTGTACCTTCACACTAGGACATGGCGATCCCTGAATATCACTTTGGTGAAAAACACATTGATCATAATTGTATATCCATATGAAGATGTACAAGCGGTGAAAGACCTATTAAGATTCATCCCTAGCAGCGTGCTGGAAGTGTTCAAACTGGTGGGTTACAAAAATTGATTAATCCATTCAAAAGTTAATTCCAAAAATTATAGCCACGCGTTGGCGGGCCCACACGGCTAATGTGACAGCTACTTCAATAACGATTTTTTCATGGATAAAATCAACATCTCCCTTTCTGAATACACTAATACAATTTCATCTTTAAAATGTGTAGGTGCAAACGTTTAACCTACACCTCACATGAACAGGGTTATTTATGTTTTTATTATGACTGGACAAAGTTGTTGATCGACTTTTATAATACTTCTTATATCAATTCTTACAAGCATGTATTACTGTCAAATGACAATTTGGCGTATATATTTGGCCATTTCCAAATGGCACTAATTTCTACGGGCGTTCGATGGGATCTGCTGTGCATTGGCGTCGTTGTTTCCAAATTGGGTTTGATAAGCATGATGGTTCGATACCGATTTATCAGATACCATTTAGTTTCCTCATTCAAATTCCCAATGTCAACAAAGCCATATCGATTACAATGGAAGTAGTTACCAACTTTATGTTGATTAAACAATTTACAGATAGGAAGCCGTATATTTCGTTAAATTAGCGGGGATATTTTAATAAAATGTAAATGAAGATATCACTTTTTCTCAATTGAATAGATGAATATTTGCTAGCATACCGAGCGTGTGCTGTATAGTATCATCGTCCGAACTTTCTGTGAGACATAATCTCCATTTCCGTAGGACAAGCTCACCATTTTTCATGAAATGCTTTGTTTTATTCCATATTAATGTAAAAAACACAAATACGGAATGGTCTGCCGCTCATCGTGAATATGCTTACTCTAAAATTCAATGTCAAACATGTAGAATGATTTCAATTTCAAAATAACATTTTCTACGGATGCATAATTAGAAATACGCTTTGACAAGGGTTGCGTTCCCTGCTTCATGAACTTTACTTGTAATTGTTTTGAGTCATAATGTTCAAATCCTAAGAAATCATAGACTCTTTCAACAACCGTGAATGCATCTGATAGCAAATCCTCGTATGTTAAAACGTATTTTTCCTTATAACCTTTCAATTTTTCCAAAGCGTTCTTCCATCGTTTCTTTGTCTCTATGACAAATGCCTTAAATTGCGTAATATTGAAAACGAGTTCTGAACTATTGGGTTTTATACTCATTTCGGAATTCCAAGCTTTGTTTTGCATTGCAACCTTCCAGCTCGTGAATTGTTCTAGAATGTTCCGTCGATACAGAATTATGATCGCCGGTGTAACAGGAGTATAAGTCCCCTTGGGAAATAAGTCCGTAGGACTTGGATTCCTAGGAACGTAGGTCCTACGGACCTACGTTTCTAGGACCGGAGGTCCTACGGACCTCCGTTCCTAGTATACGATGTCCTAGTCGGACATATATTCCAAGCTATGATATATATGAAAAATAACTATGGACGTATTTTCCTGACGGACTTGGATTCCTGCTACAGCAGTGATAGGAATTTAGGTCCATAAAACCCTATATTGATCATGTAATTAGTCTGTACATAAATATACAAAGAAAAACGTATTTGACCAGCCATCCATGATAGCTCACTAAGTAGAGCGTTTGGTAGTAATAGATATTTATAAATTAGTCAGAACTAGAACCCTGGTTCGACTCCCCTTGGCTCCCTATTTATTTTTTATGTTTTTTTCATTTAATTTTATTTTGGGAAGGTCGGACTTATTCTAAGCGTTGACATTCACGCAATGACATTGACAACGTACAGTGACAAAATATACCGTCGTGCACTTTGGATGTACGGTGTCACTATCAACTGATTTGAAGCAAACCCTATCATGTAGATTTGATGTACGTTTTAAAAAAAATTAATCTGAGGAAAACAAAATGATTTATTTTTAATTTCGTGCGTATTCGCTTCAAAAGACTTTTAGCTTTCTGATTACGTTGAAAGATATTCGACCAGTGCTTATTTTTTCGTAGTAAATCTACAACACAAAATTTATCGGCTAGAAAATGTTTGTTTTCACATTTCCTTCGATAATTTTTCCCCGTGTCGCCCAAAAGTGTCGATTATTTTTATGAGAATATGTTTCTCTCAACTACACAATTTAGGATGGTCGAAGACTTAATAAATATTATGTATTGGGTATATGTACGTTGTCAATTCCGCTCTACGGTGTCAGTCTAATTGAAATTCATAAGATGTAATATAAACAATGCAATGATGTTATTATCCCATCGAATTTCGGAAGGATATAGGGAACACCTCCGTCCATCCGTCCGTCGGGTTTTGCTTCAAATCAGTTAATAGTGACACCGTACATCTAAAGTGCAATAACTCAAATGCCGTTGGCCCGATTTTGTTGATATTTTGTACACAAATACTCTATGGGGGTAGTAATTCTGCTCGAAAGCCAATTTTCAAAATGACCGCTCATTTTGAAATGGGGGCCATTTTAGTGCCGATCTTACAGTAACTTAGGTACAACATGTAAAACTGTTATAGCAATATGTTTTAAAGTAAAAAAATACATAGGATATTAATAAAGATAGAAATGTAGATATCAAAGAAGCACATGGCAGCCATCTTGAAAAATGGCGGCCTTTACACGTTATTCTTGCTGTAACTTGAAAAGTAGTTGAGCGATTTTGTTCATATTTGATATGTGGATACTATAAGCATGGCACACTGTCTCATGACACTTTTAATTGGTAGAAGGTCGCCTTTTTGAAAAATGGCCGCCATTTTAACGTTTTTTGCTCTAACTTTAAGTAGTGGAGCAATTTTGTTCATATTTGATATGTGAATACTATAAGCATGAGACACTGTCTAATGACACGTTGGAGAGTAGGCGGCCATTTTGAAAATGGCCACAATTTTTAGGTGTGTTATTTTACCCTTTTCACTATAACTCAAAAGGTAATAGAGCAATTTTTAAAAACTAACTACCTTGAAGAATTAATGAAATGATCATGGTGTGATCCAATATATTTGGCTTATACCGTGTGAAGAAATAACTAAGAAAGGATAAAAAATGGCAGAAAGAGCCAAAGGTCCTGAAATTCTTGATCACACCTCGCACGTGTGTGCAATTTTGTTGAAAGTCTTCTTAGCAGCATATATCACTTTCTGATGACAATTTGGCTATAGTGAGCAACTATTTTGAAAATGGTAGCCATTTTGTGTGTTATTTTACGATTGGCTATTCGATTGGATTTGCCAATTTTTTGGCGTTGCTGTTGTCTAGTTTCTAATCCATTCAGGTTTTTAATCAGTAACAAGTGATGTTGAACGAACATGTTCAAGTATCCCGAATACAGATGTTGTTAGAGATAAGGTAAATGTGATTTTTGACCTCTTGTTGAGTGCTATTTTATTTAATGAAATAGTTAGTTCTTAGATTCAACATCGTGATCATTTGGCGTTTGTACGTTTACGTTCTGTTAAGATTATGATTTTATGAATTTCAATAATCTTAAGAAGTTGATAGAGAGATCGCAATGCTAGGTACAGCTAGTCGAAGATGACTTTTAAAATCCCGTTCATGCGTTTGTATATCTCGAAAGTGCATAGGTTCAATAGTGCAGTAATTGTTCAGCTTCAGTTCTAATGCATCTGACCCCTGTCGATTAGTGTTATAAAAATACGTTGTCTGGTTGTAAGGTTAACTGTGAATTGAGATGTGTAATTTCAATGGGACAACGTACACTTGTGATTTTTTAAATTGTAGCCAAAAACGTAAATACTTGTTAAATCTTCAACCGACCTAAATTGTGTAAGTTCGAGAAACATATTCTCATAAAACCAATCGACACTCTTAGGCGTCACAGTGTCAGGGGAACGATTATCAAAGGAAATGTGAAAAAACAAAAAGATAATCGTTTTACGTAATCAGAAAGCTAAAAGTCTTTCGAAGCGAAAGCACACCAGATTAAACATGAAATCCTTTATATATAATTCAGATTAGATATTTAAGACGTACATCAAACCTACATCATAGTTTTTTTTTTGTTTCAAATCACTTAATAGTGACACAGTTCATCTGAAGTGTACGACGATATATTTTGTCACTGTACGCTGTCTATGGTTAGGCGTGAACAATAAACCAACACATATTTGATTTGGTAAGTATGGTGAGTAATTATAGGAATTCAGAGATATTTTCAGACATTTTATACATGTAGATAACCAATTCAAATTGTATTGTCATATTTTGCCCGTGAAAAAAAATGACATGCAATATTTATGTGTCGGATGTTATTGTTGATTTTATGAAAACTTGAATTGAAAGGTTGACATATAAAGGTAAAATAGTTTACATGGACTTAAATTTCTGACAGGCATCCAGGAATACAAGTCCGCCTCGGACGACTCATCCTAGGCATAGGACATACAGTCCTAAGGAAAATATGTCCGATGGACTTATTTTCCTAGGTATGCAAGTCCCTGGACTTATTTTCCTAGGACTTAGTGTCCGACGGACCTGCATTCCTAGGAAAATAAGTCCATCGGACATAATTTAGCATGGACATGTGAAACTGTCACACCGGCCTGCCCAGGAGATCAATGAACTCAGCTTGGGAAATGTTCCATGTTTTTACATCAGTACAAAATAGTTTGAATCCTGTTGTGATCTTTTGACAGTTCTTACTCAGTTTGGCATTGACGTATTTGAACGCTTCGTTTGTAGTTTGGATTGTTATATCATTGCGTTTTAAGGTAGATCTTGTAAGGAGTTCATGATAGTGTCTTATACGTGGGTGTTGCTCCAACAAACTGCTAAAAAACGTTGATCCACTCCGAGGTTCTGTCAGGATTATGTAATGTTTGTATAGTAAAGAACCATCATTAATGTACCTTTCCTCGTTTTCACAAGGATTGATCGTACGGGTAGCACAGAATGTTTTATTGACTTTACAGTTTCTGATATCCTTATGGAATCATTGCGTCATTTTAAAATTGAATACTAAATATGAAACTGTTCCAAGAACTCCGAAAACTGTTAAATATATGTATATGTTGTTTTTGTTATAACCAACCATTTTCCATTTGTAGTATTGCGGCCTAGATTTAACAGTATAGTGAATATTCACTATGTAAAATACCCATAGTAATACAGTATCAGAAACATATGATACACACGTATCAATTGATTTAATGCAGTTTTACTTGTTATCATAAGTTTAGGTATCAGACATATCTAGACATGTGCAATTTAACAAGTTCAATTTAAGATTCCAGATCTCAGACCTTTTTAAGCTGAGTTATCCAGAATAATCTGATTCAGCCAGAATAAAGACATTTAGACAATTTTAAGGTAGGTTTTCTTCGACTCAATCGACCAAACATTAGGATATCATCATTTTGATTTTCGAGATTTCAAAACGTCATTAATTATAAAAGCTCAAACGGAAGTCTGATTTCGATTCATATATATAAAAAGTAGGCTAAAATACTCAGGCGGCAAAAGGCTAACTTTGTGAGGATAAATAAGACAAACATTTAAATTTGATTTAAATTTTTACCTTTGCTTTGTAGTGCCCACATTTTGAGGTCCTCTTCGATAGTAGGCTTTCATTAATCGTATTTGTATTCAGCCTGTATCTCGTATTTTTACAATTCATAATATTCTTCGGTTCCATTGGCAAAACAGCCCTAATTCACGTTACAATGCTAGTCAATGGGCAAATGGGCAAACACCTGATTTTCTATCTCGAGTTATGGATTCATGTGGCCCCACTGGCCTGAGGTTCAAAAGCAATGTCTAAGCTTCATTTTGACACGACACTCAATAGAGGTCAAACATCTACTTTCTGAAATATATGGTCAATTGTGACACTACCCCCTCTTTCTGCCGAAAGAAATTTGCATTTTCAGATGAAATGGCATGCTATTATTGCAAAAGATGACAATTGTACCTACATATTAGCTTACTGACTCGTTATGATCACAATTGTGTTGGGACTACATTCATTTTTAAAACTACATTTTTAGTCTTCAGCGGAAGTGACGTATTAGGGCATATATACAGGTTCACATTTAGGTTGCCCGTGCATCTTATCCTCTCTAATGTTTACAAAAGTACGTTCACATGACCAGGCCTTTCTTTCAGAGGATATTGACAGATATACTAAATCTAAAATACCCTAGCCGGCTTTCAAGGCGTTTAAAGAGGGTTATTGCGTACTGCGCCCAAGTCAAAGATCACAAATTACGAAACACAACTGTATTTTTGATGAGTCGTCCAATAAGAAATCAGTTTTATAATGTATTTTATTTTGCTCTGCCTCAAAAGTGCATGGTATTTGTTTTCATGGTTCGTAAACGGCGACTTCACAGAGGGTCAGAAAAGCATCAACCAAAGTGTGCTGTATCTGGACCTTTACATAGCGACCAGACAAACCATTTGGACATTGGAAAATCTGCCAATCTTTCCCACATGTATTCAAGGAACCGGTGTTGTGGACACATATTTCCCACTTGACATTGTCTTTACTTACTTCAATTTTAAAGTCATTCAGCCGTGCTATAAAATAAATATCTCATGTTAAAACACAATACCATTGTTTGTTAAGTGATGGCATTGGGTTGACTTCGCAATTTAAAATTGAAGTAAATTGATATCTGTCGCACGTGTTATAACATGCAAAACAAGAATAGCCAATACTAGTTATACTAGTACCTTCTACACCCGCTAAATTAGTACCACAGTTGTCGCTTCCTCGACACTGTCTATTAAACAAAACCACAGACCCGATGTCATACTGAGAAAGCAGGTCAACCTTCCACCATGGCCTAGTATCACCGACATCAGTTTGCATGCATGATAGATGTTCAGCGTCGCCATCTACATTGCCATCTACTGCTGCGGCAGCTGGGGGGAAACCGCCATGAAGTGACGATTGTGTCGCAACTTTACCAAGTGCAAGGTTGATTAACTCTGTAATTCAATCAGGCAATATTTTATATATTTGTAATATAATCCTTATGATATATTTAAATAAAATATGTTTCAAAACAGCTTATTATGATCCTTTTAATGATATGAACACTGGGACTATATTTTTGTATTCCCGCAGTGCTAGTGAAATGCGTAATCTTTTAATAAGGTTTCTTTCCAGGTATCACTACAAAACAATAAGCCATACATAGTGCAAATTACATGCTCGTGTGTTTTCAACAAAAATAGCTTATCCAAGCGCTTGAAAAAATTTGTTCACTATGCCCCGCCTCTGACGGCTATTTCAAAAACTAGCAATATTTATGATGCGACATCTATATAAACATTACCTTAAAGACAATTTGCAAGCAAATAACCATTATTGTAAGTTGTTAATGAGAAATGATAATTACTTGATGGCCGAAAAACAGCAACTTCACAGAGTGTGAGGAAAGTTGTGTCTTGCAACTGAACCCTAACGTAACGTCCTTTCATTCCACTTGGGCAGTAAAACATCTGACAACCCTTCTTGCAGGGTTCCAGTGTTGCGTTTCTGTAAAAGGTACACAGCTCCCACTTTTTGGCGTTTTTACTAACTTCAATTTTGAAGTTTGAAAGACGATCTAAAGAAAAATAAAAAACAGTTTTCACATTTTCCATACTTTTTTTGTATCACATTTATTATAATAGATGGGAAATGCCAGAAACAAGCGTTCTTTATCATTGAAAATGTGGTGCAACCTACCATGATTTTAAAATATATATGTGTTACCGTTTATAAACATATAAGCGCAAATGCCAAAGGGAAGCGTGACTAAAAACTTTAAAGAAACCCAACAAGAAAAGCAAACTGTAAGTGTAAATCTGTTATAAGAAAAGTAGACCCTGTTTATCCCAAAACCATGATCTAACGTGAAAATAAACAATGTCTAACATCCCCCTCCCCCTCCAATCGAGAAACAATATCACAATCCAGGTCTCAAATGATGTGGGATAGATAAAATCCAGTCTCGAAGTCCATAGGCAATTCAAAGGGTCAACATCCGTTCGCAAAGCCGTCATCATAATCCATAAAACACAACAATTCACGATGGTCATCAGGAGAAAACTATGGCTGGTTTCGATCCCTATTTCTCAACTATTAATGCCATAGACGGGATCCACCTCAGTTTAATGTATCTGATAGATCGACATAACAATTTTCCTGCCAAATGAGTGTAAATTGCCAAGTAACAAGACTGAGTGTTCTACAAATTGTTATTCAGCTGAAATAGCTTGATGATTACATTGTACTTTCAACTCCACTCGTGCAATTTCTTAACCATAATCTTAAATGATATGTGTTTAATTATATATGTACCCAACATACCATTCAAACATGAATTACCTGTAATATGAATGTTGAGAGCCAGGGAACCTGTCTGTATATTCAATTAATTTTATTTAAACTAAATTAGCTTGATGGTCACCTTCAACAACATCGGAGGGTCCACCACCGCAATTGTCTTTCCCACACTGTCTGTTTGATAACTTGACAGATCCAATGGGATAAACTGCCTGTAGGTCAACCATCCACCATGGTTTTTTCTCGAAGTCTGTGTGCATACATGATCCATGACCCCAGTCACCATCTTCAACACCGTCAACAGCACGACCAGCATCGAATTGCGAAGATTGTGAGGAAGGTTTCCCTAGCGCCAAATTTTCTGTGTCTGTACAAAAGAAACATAACAGATATAATTATATTACTTTATTTTATTTTGTTACATTTAAAATATCTTTATCACTAATTTTGCATATATATTATATAATAGTATCATTTTATATTGGAATATAAAAGCATGAGTATATGTTGTAAGCGGCCTAAGCCATACATACAATGCACAAAGTGAATTGGTTAGTACATGCACGGATGCGTTCCAATTAAAATGATATAGGATTCTATATTGCAATCAAACATGGCACCGGCCAATAATGAGGTACGACATAACATTTTTATTGAGAAAGCATATGGTCATAAAATAGACTTTTAGTAAAAATTGGATTGGACTCGCGTAATTTAGCAACTTTCTGAATTATAAGAAGTTTACAATTGGATTTTGTTGTCAGTGTTGATCTAGTTTAACCCTTTTATTTTATGCTTTTGTACTTGTTTATGTTTTAGAAATACGAAATAGGGGACTTATTAATTCGATAAAGAAGTTGCAGAAAATATGAATACTTACTTGAAAATCATATCTCGTTACCCCTATTTAAGAATAGCATTGCCCAGTCAGTGTACGTATCAAACTTAAATACAGTTGCAAAATCATTTTTCTATTCACATACGAATACATTTAACGCACTATACTTTTCTAAACTGATTGGTTGAAATGCGCTTGGAATGTCTGAATATATTGTAAAGACATGTCGCAAGATCTCACACCACACCCATCATGTTTACATTCAATTTTATATTTACACATATACATTTCTGACCTGTCTCCCTCCATGTAGAGCCTCTGCATTGTTTTTCAGCATTACCCGTGTGAATACACAATACACCTGAACCAAGGAAATATCAATTATTGACAATGGACTTAAAAGATATAGCCTTGATTATAAATAGTTTATAGTTGCTTTTTGATAAACAACAATATTATAAAACCACATTTTATAAAGTAAGTGCAACACAGTAGGTCAAAATCACAACCAGCGATCCTAAAATTCACATACGATCTGCTTTTATATTGCTTTAATTCGATTCAAAATCAAGTTCAATATTCTATGTGCTGAAAATCAAATTCATTAATTGATTTGCTTACATATTGCCAAGTACAATTCTATGTTAAACATCTGTATGGTTAATCACTATCACAACTTGGCGAAACTGTTTCGGTCTGAAATATAATATCATATAATCAATTACCCGGTCAGTATCAGGGAAACACGTTACATTATCTTTAAAAAATGGCGAACTGAAGTGCTTTTTCGATATTTTACTTTTCATTGAGTTGCATCATTTAACCCTACACGAAGGGTCGAGTCCATTGTTGGATGGTGGCGTCCATACTTCATAATTATTTGAGCATATATGCAGAGTTGGCCAAAAAGTAATACCCAAGTTAGAAAAACATATATTTATATGTTAATCCATACCCTGCGTTCAGAGTCTAGTTAAAGACGAAGCTCTCTTTTAAGAAGTGAAGTCAAACGAATGCAAAGGGTAGTTAATCCAAGGGATTATATAAAAATGTAAACAAAGGCTCCGACTATAATGTCGAATTTCTACTCCTTCTTGGACTGAAATTGGTTTTTAAGTGGATATACATACACATAAACATATACGGATTAACATTTATCGATATATTGAACTAGAGACTTTCGGAATATCGTGCTGTCCGCGACGGAAAAAATTATTGGACCCTCCTATAATTAGATCTAGCCAAGATGGCGACCTTCGATGGGTCAACCCCCCAAACCATGGTATGTGACCTTGATATATGTGTTCATAGAATTCTAACGTCTATTGACTGTATGCCGCGTCATGAGATTACAGAACAACTTATTATTGATATCGATGAATCTCTTCTCAGTGAATCTCGACAAACTATTTTTGACTTAGCAAAGTCAAAGCTTGGAAATCAGTGTTCCCGGGAATATGGTCCCGTCTCAGCTCGTGGGTGTGAACAAATAGAAGACATTAAGTTGAAAAAACGTACGGGTGATAAGAAGGGCAAGAGCCTAGCAAATGATATTTATGAACTGTACACGTATCAGATGGACCTTATTAAAACATTCCCCAGAAGTGTTTTGACATCTGTCAGCCATATACCCGAACTAAGGGGAAAGGGGGCCCAGCCACCCTCCGCGCCACAAATGGACACTGAACTTAAAGTGATGGGTCTCACTGAAGAAGTTAATGCCTTAAAGAGGGAGGTCTCACAATTAAAGAAGGATCACATACGCGAAATTGATCGACTTGAGAAAATTGTAAGCAGGCTTAAAATGGATCTGGGTGATCATACTTGTAACTCTATTGCACCGTCTATTGGCCAAATAGGGCCAATTGCGTCGCCGAAGAAATCAATATCTAGCCAGGTGAAGTCAACCGTCGAACCTCACCAAACCATAGTAACCCGTTTCAGGGCCAACTCTGAACCGGCTAATACATCACAAAACAAAGCCAATTCACGCTCTGTTTTGAGTACAGATACCCATGACCATGTTTTAGAGAAAAACAATAACAAATCACTGGAATCAGCTGATAAGTTAACCCTTTCCAAACCAAAGGATCCGCCTACGCCCAAACGAGACGCCCCTTCTCTTAATGTGGAAATATCTCGTGTTACTGATACATCAAGAGATGATGATGATGGTTTTACAATCGTGAGAAATCGAAAGAAATCGTACGCGTCTGCAACTGAAAATCGTTTTGGCGAAAAGCGACAAACGAATCTACAAACGTTGGGTAAAACAACGTCACAACGCCCAGACATCCGCGCAGAAACGAGGAATAGTGGTAAAATCCTTAAAGGTGTAGCATTTGAAAAAGCACGTACTCTATATTTGGAAAATATTGAGAAAGATGATGACCAAACTGACGAGGACATTAAGGCTCTTGTTAAAGCACATGCGAATAGCAAAGGAATACGGATAATGCAGACTTATGTGATTCATAACCGATATTCAACATACCGGGTTGGTGTTAAGTTGATTGTTCCAGAATCGTCGATGCAGAAAGCCCTTAATCCGGAATCTTGGCCAACTCCCATTAAGTGTCGCGCATGGGAGAGAGCATCAAAGCAGCCTTATAACTCCCGTAACATTCCTCCACACATCACATACAGATCCCATAGATATGATGAGTCTGACTATGCGAGTCGTGAAATCTTTGATGAAGATGATAGAGTTGAAGCATACACTAAGTCTCATAACAATGATCATTACAATTATCATCATGATATGCAGGGCCGTAGGGAGAGGGGGTTCGTAGGGCTCGTGCGAACCCCCCCCCCAAATCTTGCCTAAAAAAATTCGAACCCACCCTTTCTGGCAATTATGCAAACCTCCAAACTTTGAGTAAAATTTTTGCAGTCTTTCAATAATTTATCGTTTTTGATTACCCAAAGACAATTGAGTTGTATGTCAAGATGGAAATATGTGAGATTTATAGCTTCATTTTGAGTAAAAAAGACAGAAAAACAAAAAAACTTCTAATCAATAATGGGCGATGATAGGTATGCTCTTTGCACTTTAGGCCTGAAATACTGAAGTAATATCTTCAAAATGAATTCAAATGCACAAACAAAGCATACCTACCAAGTTGAAATTATCTGATTGTTGTACATAACGTCAAAATGGTCTAATTTTTTAAATAAATCTGCGGGGAATTTTGTTTGGCAAAATTGAGGTAAATTGGCAAACATACAGCAAATTTGGCAGAACTTCAGCAAATTTGGCAAAATTTAAGCAAATTTGGCCAAATTTAAGCAAATTTGGCAAAATTTCATCAAATTTGGCAAAATTTAAGCAACTTTGGCAAGATTTAAGCAAATTTGGTAAAATTGAAACAAATTTGACAAAATTTAAGCAAATTTGGCAAAATTTAAGCAAATTTGGCAAAATTTAAGCAAATTTGGCAAAACTTAAGCAAATTTGGCAAAATTTAAGCACATTTGGCAAATTGCGCCACTGATATGTGCGACACATCACGAGATTACGCCCAGAACCTGAGAGCAACAGGGAACCAGCATCACTGTTAATCCAAATCTGATACTTGCTCTGACTTCTCTTAAATGCATATTATCAGCTTACTAGTTGCATTACTCCTAATAGGTATGGTAAAAGACAAATATACACTGAGTGATCATGATAACGTGTCAAATGATTTTAAAAATCATCAAGTTCAGAACTTAAGAGTCACATCGTGGAATGCAAATGGTTTTAATGAATCAAGTCCTTACTTATACTCTTTGTTAGAAAACGCTGATATATTGTGTTTAAGTGAACATTGGCTATACCCGGGTGCGCTAAATGTGTTAAATCATATTCACCCGGATTTTGTAAGTGCAGCAGAAAGTAGTACTACCCTCGATCCCTTAAATCAAGGGCACTGCATTGGCAACGGGGGTATTGCCATTTTCTGAAGAAAATCTCTAAGTCAGTTTATCATTCACGTAAAGAAATACAAAAGCGATCGTTTTATTGTCATTGAAATCTTACAACCTGAATGTCGTAATTTATATGTAGTTAGTGTGTATTTACCTCATGCTCATTGTAAGAATGCAGAATTTTCCGAAGTTCTTGATAATTTAGAGGTAGTTATAAATGATCTGCAAATTGATGGTGATGTTATTATAGCGGGTGACTTAAATGCAGATTTTGGAAGCACTTATCAAAGAGGCAATGGTAAAATAACACCATGTGGTACTAAATTGCTAAATATGTGTAAACGTACTAACCTCATACCAGTAGACATGGTTGAGTCGTGTAAAGGGCCGTCATATACATTTTATAGAGACTACACCGGGCAATCGTATATAGACCATTTATTAGTATCTGAGCAAGCTATTGTACAATGTATTGATATTTCTGTGTGGGAAAACGAACCCTTAAATCTTTCTGACCACCTCCCCTTAAATTTAACATTCACACTTAAGGAACATTTGCCGCATAAACATGATATCAAATCTACAGAAAATACCCGTGTCTCTTGGAAAAAGGCAACAACTGAGCAGCTAGATGCTTATGCTGCACACGTGACGACGCTAATACAAGATCGTTTGATTCCACTACTATCTGACAATAAGGCACATGATTGCACTCATCTCGAACACTGTTTTAACACATTAACTTCCATTTTACACGAGTCGGCCTCCTTGAAGCTTCCGAAGAGTAAGTTTTGTAAGCACTTATAACCTTACTGGACTGAGACGCTGAAATCAATGATTAAACAAAAGAAAATCACATGGAAAAGATGGATACAAAATGGAAGACCACGCCAAGCTGGAAATGTCCATTGGGAATCTTATAAGCATGCAAAACGGTGTTTTAGGAAGGAATTTCGGAGATGCGAAAGGGAATACGAGATACGGTGCCAAAAGGAAATTGATGAAATGGAAGATATATCTATTAACCAATTTTGGCACTTAGTTAAGATGCGAAAGTCAAAGATAGCCAATAATCTAGCTGTTCGATCGGAAAATGGTGTTATTTTAACTAATGTTACTGATGTTGTTAATGAATGGAGACAATACTTTAAGAATTTAGTCTCCGCAAATGGAAGCGACCAATGTACTTATGATGATTTGTTTTATGCTGAGGTAAATGAAATGGTGTTAAAAATGGATGCTGTTAGCCGCACCAATGATGATGGGTCTTTTAATGATCCAATCACTGTGGATGAAATGGAACTGATATTGCGTAAACTACCAAACAACAAAGCGCCAGGTTGGGACATGATTTGTTCAGAGCACTTAAATAAAGGTGGCAGGTCGGTTTTAAGCGTACTGTTAAGGCTATTTAACATAGTGATTGATGCAGAGTTAATTCCCGCGAGTTTTAAACTTGGCGTACTGTTACCAATCTTTAAAGGTGGTAATAAAGATCAGCTTAACAAAGACCATCATCGTGGAATCACCTTAATGACAACATATATGAAGATGTTAGATCGTTTAATGCTGATGAGAAGTGAAAACTGCCCTCTGCTTGAGAAAAGGTCACCAATGCAAGGAGTAGGACTTGAGAAATGCTCAAGCCTCCATACGTCATTGCTTACACGAGAGACTATTGCCCACGGACTCGAACAGGGTAATGACGTCATAGTGACGTCATTAGACATCAGGAAGGCATTCGACAGTGTTTGGCACAATGGCCTCATGTATAAGCTATACCAACAAGGCATCAACGGAAAACTGTGGCGACTTATCAAAATGGCATATGATGGATACGAATGTGCTGTTAAAGTGTCTCATGAAGCCCCACTTTCAGATCCGTTCACTGTAGGAAAGGGGGTCCACCAGGGAGGAATCTCATCTATGAATTACTACGCAAGATATACGAACGATTTACTTAATCAGATTGAGAATAGTAAGATAGGATGTACCGTCAGTTGTGTTCAAACAACTTGCCCCACATACGCTGATGATACTATACTTATAGCGTATCATGCAACTTCAATGCAACGTATCCTGGATATTATATATGATTATAGTGTTAAGTGGCGTTTCCAATTCCACCCTGACAAATGTAAGTCGTTAATATTCAGTAACCATAGAAACGCGCCCAAACCATTTCTCACACTTGGAGGAAAACAGATTGAGGTTCTAGACTCGCTTCAACACGTTGGTTTACCGTTATGTCACAAGCCGAGCCCAGAATTCATTGATGGTGCGATTTCAAAAGGCAGACGGACAATGGCAGCATATATTGGAGTAACATCATCGTGTAACAACCCTACCAATCCACTCACTGCTTCTAGACTATATTGGTCCATATGTGTTCCGTCAATGACCTATGGGTTTGAACTTTTATCGTTGAGTGAGTCTGACTTAACAAAACTTGAAGCAGGGCACAGATCTATCTCGAAGCGACTGCAAGGATTGCCTGATAATACACCGACACCAGCCTGCACATCCTCCATTGGATGGCAGTCCTTACCTGCTAAAGTGATAATTAGCAAGTTGATGCTCCTGTGGCAACTATTAACATTACCTATGTCTAATGTCTACAAGAAAATAACTGTAATAAGACTTATATTTGCACAATACTTTACTCTCCATAGCCTTTCACCGTTAGGCGATTGTCTAAAAGTAGCAAAAGCTTATAGATTAGATGAGGCAATATATGGAATCCTAAATGGGGAAAGTGTGAGTAAATCCAGCTGGAAACGACAAGTAAAATTTGCGATAGAAGAATATGAAACCAACAAATGGAGACTGAACTGCTTAGCTTATGAAAACCTCACATTATTTAAAACAGTGCATCATTTCATTAAACCACTTATTTGGTGGCAATTGGCAAAAAAGGATCCAGGGACTCTCCGGAACTGCAGATTAATGGTAATTTTGTTAACTGGAGGTGGAGCTCTTATGACAAATGTTAAAAGGTGGTCGGGTGGTCTGGAATCAGATCTATGCATGGTATGCAAATTGGCTCCAGAAACGTTACAGCATTTAATTCTTGATTGTTCAGGACATGTTAATGAACGCATAGAAATATTAAATATCTGTAAAAAGTTATTTCCGAATCAACCCCTCCCCCCTAGTAGTGTATTGTTGCCAATTATATTTGGCGCGGATTCGATACTTTGTGATGTAGAATATGATATTATATGTAAATCTGTATATAAAATGTATCTAAATAGGCCTAAAAACAGGTATTTTACATAGTAACTATAAGGCTTAAGCGGTAATCACCAATTGGTGATATTATAATTGAATGTGTTTTCCCCTACTTAACCTGTATAGCTTAGTTTTATTTTCTAAGATTTTATTATAAATTATATGTATACACATCATTATTGGTGGATAAAATAAACATAAATAAATAAATAAAGGGAAAGATCAATACCCGGTGATTTCAGCGGGAAGTGGCGTTTCGTTCAGTGGATGAGCTGCGCGCGCACGCATAAATGTGATTATCAATATTATTTAGGGGAGGGATATTCAAGCTTATTTTCGTCATAGGCGCGACCCAGGGCTGTTGTCTTAAGGACATTTCGTTGAAAATTAGCCATTCGGCTGATAATTTGTAAGAGTTTTCGATCTTATAATGTATAACTGTTATTCAGACACATATTTTGACACGATTCTGTTGGAATTAAGCTCTGAACCGAGAGATATTCACGATTGATATGCACATTTTTGATTGTGCCATTGCTTTTCAATTGCACAATCCATGTATTGATAGAAGTAACAATAATGCAGATTGTTTTACCTTCAATACATGGCGGATTCACTACATATCGGTCTATTAAATACCATTTTGTGCCCTAAATAGTTTTATATTTCCATCACGGCCTGGGTGTGTTTGTCTCTTATGTGTATGCGTGTGAATTGGTGGGGCTGGTAGGGCCACCAATCCCCTAAACCCCGCCCATCCTTTATTGTAAATTTATGCTGTAACATTTAGTGACTTCGCTGGAAAACAATAGGAATTATTTTTCTTGCCAATCAATCGTGAATAACAATCAAAATTTCAGAAAGGATCAATCAGGCAATCTTCTAAAATCCAAATCAAGTTACATTATATGATATTCAGCAAGAAATCCGGTAGAAATAAAGAATATTTAAACTAT